AAATCTTAACAATGTCGACCTCATAAATTTTTCCCACATCTAGTTTCTTGGAGTCTGAAATCACTCAAACTGCCAATGCCCCTTTTGCCTCACCAACTCAGTTCGAGTCAGACCAAAACCTCACACAAGAAACACAAAAGTTATTACCGAACTAGTCATTTACTTTAATAAATAAAGTGAAAAGTATGAACATACAAGTCAAATAGTGGAGGAATCTGAGATTCGGGAGGGGGGGGGGACAATGAAAGGTGAGAAGGAGAAGGAGAAAAAAGGAAAAAATCGAGCGGTGATGTTAGAGTTGTCGGTTCTTATATGGAGGGCACTGGATGCCCTAGTAAAGAACTAGAAGGAGAGGATGTTAGTATTAGGTGTAGAAGAAGTCTCCGACCAACAACCAAGTCCTTCTGTTGTGATGGCATAAAGGTTGGAGAAGAAAGTTCTTAAAAAAGTTTCTATAAAGGAGATCATAGAAGATAATATTGAAAAAGGTGCTAAATAGGTCCAAGAACATGGTTCCTTGGCCTCTAATAATGAAAAATCTTCATATTTGAGGATACAATTTTCTGATACTAAGGGAGAAAAAAAGGGAGAACCTGAAGTAGACAAAGAAGGGAGTGATAGTGAAGATGTAGTTTTAGCTGAGAGATTTACTCAATTGAAGAAGAAAAGTATGGGTGAAGGGAAGAAACCATCTAGAAGTTTAAACAGATAGCCAAGAAGACAGTTACAAATGGGAAGTCTATGACTCCCAAGGCTAGGATCCAAACACCAAGGGAAAGAGCAAGGCTGCTTTGAGAAAACTTTAGAGGAGAATAAGAAAAAGAGAAAGGAACGACATGAGTTCTAGTTGAGGAATGAGCCTGAGGTAGAATAAGTTAACTTGGTCAGCGAGGAAGAAGAGGAAGATGAAGAGATTACTCTTCAAAGGAAAGGGGAAAAAGGCTGGATTATCTTCAACCACACCTAAAAAAAAGGGGACTCGCAAAAAGAAAAATATATGTGGACTCCCATGTCAAAGGAACCAACTCCAAACATTACAAGAAAACTAAGAAAAACATTGTTGTTGTATGCAAAGTGTGTTGGTTCAGTGCCCTAGTGATATTGAAGGGTGATAGACCTTGCTACTTTTGAGATGTTAAGAATGAAAGAACTGTTGGAGAAGCTTGAGAACCAAAAGTGGTCGCACTTATTTCTGTGACCACTCCCTGTGACGTATAGTAAAGAAATATTGCGCTTATATAAGAATTTTAAATTACTTGACGAAGGTACAATGAGTACCGAGGTGAGAGGAATGGACTTGGTTCTTACTGTTGAGTTCATAGAAAAATTCTTGAGGGTGCACGTGAATAAGTTTGATACATGTGTTCAACGAGAATTGCTCAAATTAGGGGAGGAAGAGGATGATATGTATTTGACCTCGAAGAATATATAGGGAAAGGGGAAGCTGAAACCAAGGAAGCTAGGTAAAAATAAAATAAAATCGATTCACAAGCTCATGTTCGAATTTGTGAATAAGTGTGTGCTATCTCGCTCTAAAATGAGGCATGAGGCTACTTACCTAGATCTAACAATTATGAAAGCGCCGGACCAAAATATTTTGCTTAAATTTTCCTCTATAAGTATCAAATATATGACAGCCAATCAAGTACGAGGCACACATGCTTTGCCATATGGTTTCTTGTTGACTAGGGTGGTTGAATATTTCAAGGTCCACTTGCAAGGACCAAAGAAGCGGACAAAGGAGAACATGCTTGATGAAGAGACCTTGATGGATTATGACTACATTAAGAGACCATAGAGTATAAAAAGTAAAAGCATAGTCACAAATTTATGGGCGGAATTGGCTGCTACCAAATATGGGATGGAGAAACTGCGTGCTGAATGTGCTTCCTTGAAAGAGGAAAATAGGCAGCTGAAAGAAGAGATGAAAAAAGAGCAGGTTATTGTTGTTGCACATTTTGATAGGATCTTGGGGCTCACTAGTGAAAAGTTTTCTTCCAGCAAAGAACCTGGTACTTCGTCCTCGTAGGTGTCCATGTCTAATATCTAGTTTGTCCCTATTATGATCATATTGTAGATTGTTGCCTTTTTATTTTTGGTTGTGCGGAAGTTTGATTTATTTGTTCAACCATCTTTTGGTTTGAGTCCTTTGGCTTAATGTGGTACAATTTATCAATCAATATAAATTATTATTTTTGGGTCATATTTATCTCTTCAAAGTTGGAAATATTAAATGCTTGAAATTTTAACATTATGTACGTGTTAGTATAGCCCAAGTGGCCATAAGTTTGATATTACTTAATTCTCACTTTTGATTGATGCTTTATTTTCTCGATGATGCCAAAATGGCATAATGTTGAAAGTTTATCTTTTTTGCTGGAATTAAAATGTCATATGCCTAGTCATCTATAGAGTTGCATTGAATGAAAATCTAGTCCCTTATACGTGTGCAACCATGGACAAATTGAAGAAGAATGCTGATAGTAAAACTAGTTCTTAAGCTGAAGACTACAAATAAGTTGAGTAATGTTAGATGAGATGCACATGGATTTGTCATCATCAAAAGGGAAAGATTTATTGAGTTGAACATATTCTATCATGGATGTCTTTTAACGATTGACAAACTATGATCAACTATATTGAAAGAAATTGATTTTATGGATAAGATACTATGCTACTAAACTGGTGTGCATATATGATATGCAGGTGCCAAAAAAATCAGGTTCTTGATGGATAACATTGAATGTTGATCAAGTGTGAGAAGATAGAATATGTGTGCACATTGTATTCGAGAAAAAAATTAGTTCGTATATATAAGGAAAGATCTTAGCTGGAGGAATTCATGTGCTAAAAGGTTTCAACAAATAAGGAATAACTTGCATGGTAAAAAAAGGTTGAGGAGGTGAAAATAAAGAAACTAAATCAAATTAGCAGAGGATTTCATTAACCAAGATATTCTAGGTTTTGGAGCATTAATTGGAGAAGAATTTCGGCCACCCTTATACCTATATAAAGAGACCTTTTGCAGCCGTATACAACCAATAGTATTCACACAAGTTAAGTATTTACGCTTGGCAATAACAATCACTGAAAGAAGGTGTTTTCAAAGGATTTAAACTGCTCAACTAAAGAACCTATTTCCGAAGCTGCCTAGTCTTTTAGTTGTTATGTTGATGCTATTGTTCTTTAATTACAACCTATTTGCGTTTGAGAAGTATAATCATAGGTTCACAAAATATTGAAGTTTTTATTTCATTTTCATACTAGAGTTAATTTAGAAACGGGTCGCTATGATAGAGTTGATTTTAGGGTTAGGGTGCTAGAGTTAGTCTCGTGAGTTATTGAGTTGTAACCTAAAATCACTCTTTGAAATTAGTGAAGTTTGAAGGCAAACCGTATGAGGGTAGGTCATGATTTTTACTCCCTTCAACAATTAGGTTTTTCATGTAAAAATCGTTGTGTTCTTTGTGTTCAATATTTACTAGCTGTTTGTGTGTTTGGGTAATCAAATAACTTGGTTCTTTAATTTGTAAAATTCGGATGAAACACAATTCACTTCTTTTTGGTGTTACGGTGTAACCCTAAAATAACATAATTCATCAAACTGATAATAATGACTCCAAACTAGCTACTTGATTCACAACGTTATTGTGTTCATTTACTTTTGAACTAAATATTGTACTAAAAACATATCCACTTTAGTCGTAAATCATAACATAATTGCAAATTCAGTAAGAAATATTACTAATGTATTATTGTGAAGTTTCACTTCATTAATATAACTGAACTGAAGTTAATTTGATGAAATTTTCATATTAATTCCGCTCAATTGAACTAATTTCATCCAAATATTAATAACTCATCATTTAAGACAAAAAGAAGATTCACTAGAATTAGAAATTTAATAATAAGATTTATACTCATTTCTACTTTAATAATCTACTCACTAGAAAGTAGACAAAGCCCTTTGCCCATACAAATCCCTAACTACTAATCTACTTTAATTAATTTGTATTGCGATTACATCCATAACTAGATTTGCATGCATGTCGAGATAATCTATACTCCTTATATATAATCTGTCATTTAGCACATTTAATCATCATTATGTTATACATATATATCATCTCAAATGTAAAAATCACACATTCAAGTTAACATATCCACTAGAACAAATACATATATAAAATCTATATATATGCATTTGCTAGTAGTTATCTCTTACTTTTTCTTCTTCATTGTCTTCTCTAAGGTATTATATATTAGGTCATATTTTTTGAGATATTTGATAAAATTAAAAGAATACAAAAAGATTAATATTATTATTGCACAAGGACGATACACATAGAAGTAAGAGCGTCAATGGATCTTTAAAATCAACTAGATCATACTGAATTGATTATTAGGTTTCTTTTAATAAAATCGTAGGTTTTTATATAAATCTATAATCGTATCGAAAAATTACGGTAGGTTTTTCGTTTTATAAAAATATATATTTTTTGAACCGTACCTAATAAATTAATATGTAAAAAATATATTTTATATTTTAAGTGTAAAAACGCATTATATTTTTCCCGGTGCTTGTAATTATAGAAATGGATATAAGATAACATGTAATTAACACCTAAAACCCTAGTTTTCAAACACATTCTGCTATTTATATCGAAATTAAATTAGTTCCATCATCTTGTGTAGCAAAGCACAAAGTATTTCAGCAATCGTAAGTAACAAACCACAATGTATTGATTATGGTTCCTCTGGTATGATTTAAAATTTTCTTGTTTAGAATCTTAATCTTCTAATATTTATTTTTGAATATCCAATTTGATTAATATCGTTTAACTGTGTGATTTATATTCTCTTATCTTTACTCAAGTTACCCCTACACAGAAGTCATAGGATAGGCCTAGTTAGGGTTAGTTTCGTTATTTTAACAAGGCTATATAGGTCTTTTACGAGGCTGGACTATATATAGTCGGTTGGATATTTCAGTAATTGACAGTTCTTACATGCAAACCCTAAAACCGTCCTCCATTTGGCAATATTTGTTCTGATATTTTCTGCAGTTTTTTGGTTCTTTATAGATCACAACGAAGTACCTCTACTGGTGTTATACTTATGTTATCCTGCTCGTGAAGTCTAAAGCAACAGACCTGAAAGACTCCATTTCCCCCCAAAACAGTGTAATTTACTTGCTCCATTTTTATTTCTTCTTTGTGTTTTTTTCTATCCATTAACAGGATCAGTTATTTTATCCAGTTCTTGAATCCTGCACCTAGTGTATTTTGATAAAAAGATGATTTCATGTTTTTGCCATTTTTAATCGTTGAATGTATTAATTTTCTTAAATAGAAGTACTTGTTTTTTTTGGGTTTAATGATAATTGTAATGAAGAGAAGAGATTTTTGGGCGAGTGGAAATTGCTTCTGGGTTTGGGTTTTCTTGTAAAGTTGGTTACTTCGAAGGAAATTATGGAGTGCTAGAGAATCATCCCCCCCCCCCCCCCCCCTAAAAAAAAAAAAAAAACAAAAAACAAAAAAACAGAGTATTCAATTTCAATCATGAATTCTTTATGTGAGTTTATTTGGGGGTTCTTAAAGGAGGGTACGTGTAAAGAAGAAAAAAATCATGCTGTGACTGAAAATTGATTGTGTATGGATTTTTTTTGTTAAAGTTGATTGCTTTAATTGGAAATTGTATAGTGCTAGATATTTTATTGCTGTAAGAGGGTCTTCAATTTCAAGCATGAATCTTGTATGTGAGTTCGTCAATTGCAAGTTGCTTTTTTGGGGGTGGGGGTGGTTTGCTTCTGTAAGTTCACAGAAAACTAGAAGTCTTGAGTGAGTGAAAATTGCTTACTGCATTTATGTTTGTAAGGTTGATCAAACCTGGAAATTTTCTCTGAGTTTGTTTTGTAACTTGCTTAGTCGGTCGGTAAAAGCTTTTATTTGGTCCTTAGGTCATTGAGTAAAGCAATATAGCTTCATTGGGAAATTGACATTTGCATATGACATCAATCTGCATCTCTTTGAATTGCGCTTTCATTTCCAATTTATGCTTTCTGTATGTTCCACATTATGAAGTTTGATATGGTAACAATTCATGAATTGTTAGTTTGTTTCCATTAGTTTCATAAGGATTGTTAGATTGATCCCAGTTGATATAGAGTATTTGGTTTGTAGGGTGACATATTCAGCTCATCTTGACATGGCAGGCCAGAGGAATAACTTTGGGAAGAGAATGCAATCGGAATCTGACTATACTAGGAATGACGGAAGTAAGAGAAGGAATCCAACTGATGAAAAAGAATCAAATTCCATTGGACCAGAGGATACTGTATTCCGTTATTTGTGCCCCACAGGAAAAATTGGAAGTGTCATTGGAGTTGGTGGGGACATTGCAAAACAATTGAGGACTGAAACTAATTCAAAGATTAGAATTAGTGAGACTATACCTGGATGTGAGGAGCGTGTGGTAACTATTTATAGCTTGAGTGAAGAAACTAATGTCTATGAAGATACTGGTGACCTGATTTCACCTGCTCAAGATGCTCTATTGAAGGTGCATGACCGAGTTTTTGCAGAAGAACTGCGTATGGAAGAAGACCTAGAGGATCCTCAGCAGATTACAATAAGAATGCTTGTCCCATCAGATCAAATAGGTTGTGTGATAGGGAAAGGCGGACAAGTAATCCAGAATATGCGCAGTGAAACAGGCGCACAAATTCGGGTCTTAAGCAGTGAGCACTTGCCACCTTGTGCCTTAAGCTCCGATGAACTTATCCAGGTACAAAGTTCTGTCTCATCTATTAATTTTTCTAAGATCACTATAAGCATTTACGTTGTGCATGTACTGCAGAGAACTGAAATATTTAGGGCATGTATTGTTTTACTTTACTTGAAGTAATTTCATCGGCATTTTGAATGCGAGCACTTTCCTTAATCATAATTGATTTGGTTATCTATAAGAATATCAGGTGTTCTGATCTATGGCGAGATAATACTCAATGGATCGATAATCGCTTATTTATATATTAATAAAAATGGATTCACAAAATAAAACAGTAGCTAGAAACAAGGTTTTGATTTTCCAGCCGTGGTCTCTAGCAATGAAGAGGACTGCTTATACGTGATAAAAAGATGAAGAGAATGTTTGTCTGCTAGGTGGTTGCCTGGACAAGCTTGTCAGCCGGCTTATACACATGCTATTCCCACTCTCCTCCCAAAGATTCTGGATTTCCTCAGTTATTAATTTATTTTGAGCTCTTTACATTTATGTTTGGTTAGGGCTTCTCCAACCTTAAGCACTATTTTTTACACCAAAAATGGTGGAAATTAACTCCAACCTATTACGCTATTTTTTACACCAAAAAAGAATATCCAAATTTGGTGTAACACTATTCACTCACCAAATACTATTGACACACCATATTTGGTGTAAAAATAATGTATAAAAAGGATATTCTTTTTTGGTGTAAAAAATAGTGTAATGGGTTGGAATTTAATTTCCACCATTTTGGGGTTTACACTATTTTGGTGTAAAAATTAGTGCTTAAGACCATCTCCAACCCTAAGGGCATCTTCAATGGTGCACTATTTTTTGCACCAAATCTAAATTTGGTATTTTTTTTGCTCCAATGGAACACCAAATTTTGCACCATTTTAGTGTGTGAATAGTGTCACACCAAATTTGGTGTGACACTATTCATCACCACCAAATTTGATTTATTATTATTTTATTCATCTTTTTATTTTTTTGGACTTTTAATTTATCGTATATTGTGTATTTAATTAATTTTTATATTAAGATCTTTATAATTTTAATTTTATATCCTATGTTTTTGGTATATTAATTTTTGTATATATTATATTTATATAAAATTATAAGTTAATTTTAGTATTATTAATAATTGTATAAAAAGAAATATAACCATTATTTAAAAATTAAAAATGCAAATGTAAGATATCTAATGTTGCTAAAATTGAAAAGTGAAAACTAAAATTTAAAAAAGAAAATACATTAAAATCAAAAGTACATCAAAGGAGGATACATTAAAAAACATAAAACATAAGTTTAGTAATCCGGTATGTCATTTTTAGGTGCACCAAAATTACTAAAAAACTGAGAGGATGGGGTAGAAGATTGTTGTGCTTGTGATTGTTGAAATTGGTGACTTCTTTTATCGATTACTCGTTTTTGTTCTTGTCGCAAAAATTCACGAAGATTTGGATCGTCAATGGAATTCAACTTCCATCGCCTCAACAAGCCGACTATTTTCCGATTGGATCATTTTCACGTAATCTTCATCAATTTTTCTCTTCAATTTTGCTTTCTTTACCCCAATAGGTCGTTGTGCTGATGTGGCCTCACCTGCAACATCCTCATTTAAATATAGTGAAAATGATGACAAGTTAGGAGACGATACCAACGGTGAATCAGGAGTAGGAGCCTCAGACTCCGATGATACATAAGTAGAGCCATGCTTTCTTGCTTTTGTTCTTCCAAAATCAACATCGTTGAACTTCTCAAAATCTTTCATCATATCCCACACATGATCAAATTTAAAGCCTTTTTTAAAGTTCGGGTCTTGCATTAGTAAAGATGCGCATTTCGCACTTCGTAATGCATTAATCGAGCATTTATGGGAGAATAGAGGCGAAAGTTGAATATTTATGTGGTACTTAAATTTGATTGTGATGTAATATTTATTTAATTATCTTTTATCAATGATTTCACTTTTAGTTGATTTATCCTTTAAAATAATTTTGTAATAAATGATTATATAAGTGGTGAATGTGAATTATATGTGATGAATATGGAAAAAAAGAAAAAAGATAGAATTTGTTTGAAGGAAATAAAAAATAAAATTTAAATATAAGATAATAATATAATATAGAAGAGAGAGAAGAATGGTGTAATCGGAAAATAGTCGGCTTGTTGAGGCGATGGAAAATTCAACTAACTCAAGAAATGAAGCTTCGAGACAAAAAGAATTCAAAGAAGAAAATAAAATTTTATTGACGAAGCTGAATTCCATCGACGATCCAAATCTTCGTGAATTTTTGCGACAAGAACAAAAATGAATAATCGATAAAAGAAGTCAACAATTTCAACAACCACAAGCACAACAATCTTCTACCCCGTTCTCTCAGTTTTTTAGTAATTTTGGTGCACCTGGAAATGACATACCGGATTACTAAACTTATGTTTTATGTTTTTTAATGTAATTTCAATTTTAATGTATCCTCCTTTGATGTACTTTTAATTTTAATGTATTGTTAATTTTCTTTTTTAAATTTTAGTTTTCACTTTTCAATTTTAGCAACATTAGATATCTTACATTTGCATTTTTCATTTTTAAATAATGGTTATATTTCTTTTTATACAATTATAATAATACTAAAATTAACTTATAATTTTATATAAATATAATATATACAAAAATTAATATACCAAAAAAATAGGATATAAAATTAAAATTATAAGATCTTAATATAAAAATTAATTATATACACAATATATGATAAATTAAAAGTCCAAAAAAATAAAAAGATGAATAAAATAATAATAAATCAAATTTGGTGTGACACTATTCACACACTAAAATGGTGCAAAATTTGGTGTTCCATTGGAGCAAAAAAATACCAAATTTTACACCAAATTTAGATTTGGTGCAAAAAATGGTGCACCATTGGGGATGCCCTAAGGTTGGAGATGCCCTTATGTGGAACATCCACGGCATTTCAGATAGGTTGGCGAAAACAGTCTTCTTAATTTTTCTACGTCCGACGGAGGGTTCAAATAACATAGGTTCATTTCTCACCGTTTCTTTAAAAAAAAATAAAACAACATACAAATGGCAAACATAGAGGATTACTAAGGCCTAGCTTTTTCTTTTTTATAGTGGGTTGAGAGTTCTGCGCTTTCTAATCAAATAAGGGATCATACCAGTCCTGGGGCCCTCTTACTTGTGCTAAAACTTTCCAAGGTCCGCCTCATGGCATCCACATTGAAAGAGATAGAGAGATCAAGTATGGTCGTCCTTTGTTGGAATTTGCTATTAAATCTAAATTGGGTTTATATGTGGTGGAATGTCCACCAGACTTTAGATTGTTCGGGACTTAGTTTTCTATGTTGGATAGAGAACACAAGTAGCACATATAGAGGATAAAATGAGAGTTTCATCCAAGATATTTTGTTCATTTCTCACGTAGATGCATCGATCTATAGGTGCATCACTTTCATTTTTGATGATTGAAGGTGCTTAAAGGGAGTGACATAGACCTAAATCACAGAGGTGTAAGTTTTTTTTTTGATGAAGTAAGGAGAATTCATTAAAAGCATCCAGCGGATGCAGGCAAAAGATTACAATTAAGAGAGATGGTGTCTGCTCATATACACAAAAAAAACTATTCTATAACTAAGGAGCAGACACAATCAAAAAATTGAACAGAACTAGTTACAGGTGCCTGATTTAGCCAACTAAACAAATTCAATAAGCATTTTGCTTTGACTACATGGATCGGAGTTGAGATCGCATCAAAACATCTACGGTTCCTTTCCTTCCAGATGCACCAAAAGATAGCAGCAGGTACCATTACCCAAAATTTTTTGATGGATTTACCAACTCTCCATGAACTTGTTTTAAATGATTTGAAACTTTTAGACTTAATGCAGATTTAGCTAAGAAGAAAATATAATGTAGCAAAGGATCCATATAGGTGATACAACTAGTTGTTGTTATGGCATGCTGTTATATTTGTATTATGTCTGCTGCCTTATTAAAAAAGAAAAAAAAAAAAAGAAGAAAAAAGAGTTTACTGTCTGTGGAGAGTCCTTTTTAGTCTGCTCACCGATTGCATGTTAGTATTTAGTGTGAGCTTTAGAAAACTCCTAATTTGCCTTAAAAGATCATTCTCAAAAAAGAACTAAATAGGGTTCCGTTGTTGAGTTACAAATGGGAAGTTTATGGAATTATAATCGAGTAAAATGAGTCCATAGAGTGGAATGGTTATAAAGGATTCGTGTATCAATTGTCTAGTTTGGGATTGAGGGTAGTTGATTGGTAAGAAGTATAGCAGGGGAAGAGCAGAACCTTAAACATGATTAGTTTGGTTGTTTAATAGCTGTTTTATTATCTGCTAGCTATGTCCATTTTTGTAATTGTGGGGCATCCATATATCAATGGTACTAAAAAGTAAAAACACTAAGAGGAATAATGACAGAAATCAACTTAGAACCGATTGTTGAGTGAGCAACTGCTGTATTCAAGTATTTATTTGCAAATGTCAGAATATGCTGTCAAACTTAATCTGATGCTTATTTCTGGTTATACAAATACGTAAATGATGTGTTAAGAGATACTTCTTTTATTTTCAGATAACTGGAGAAGGTGCAGTTGTTAAAAAAGCACTTTATCAAGTAGCAGCGCGTCTCCGTGATAATCCATCACGGTCCCAACATCAATTGCTGTCGTCGCCCAGCATATATAGGTCTGGTGCTGGACTTGTTAATCCTCATGCGGGTCCCCAAGTCATGGGCATGACATCATTGATGGGTCCTTATGGGAGTTACAAAAGTGATGGTAGAAGTCGATCTGCTTCTGTAAAAGAGTTTGCAGTTCGTTTAGTTTGTCCAACTGAAAATATAGGAGCTGTAATTGGCAAAGGTGGAAGCATTATCAAACAGCTAAGACAGGAATCAGGTGCATCTATTAAAGTCGATAGTGCTGCAGCTGAAGGAGATGATTGCATTATATTTGTATCAGCTAAGGAGGTGAGCCACAGTTTTTAGTTATTAAATTAATTATTTGATGGCTAGGACTGAGCATGCCTGTCCGCAGCGTTTGTTGCTTATCCAATTGTGATCTCAGGCATATGAAGATCAATCCCCAACCATTGATGCAACAATGCGCTTGCAACCAAGAAGTAGTGAGAAAACTGAAAAAGATTCTGGCGATGCTATTCTGACGACTCGCCTGCTTGTACCTAGCTCACGAGTCGGATGCCTAATTGGTAAAGGTGGTTCCATTGTTAATGAGATGCGAAATACCACAAGGGCGAGCATCCGCATTCTTTCGAAGGAAAATCTTCCTAAAGTGGCATCTGAAGATGATGAGATGGTGCAGGTAAATGGTTTTTTCTTTTTTTTCTTCTTCTTTTTGGTAATTTTTTTAAAAAAACCCTTGCTTTGTTTACCTCAAAAGAGTTCCTAGGTCGGGTGTGATGTTTGGTTAGGGTGTGCTTGTGATGCAGAAATTGTTATGTCACGTTGTTATTTTCTCTCCTCCAGATAACTGGAGATGTTAATGTTGCTGGCAATGCGTTATTACAAGTACTTATGCGGTTGAGGGCCAATATATTTGAGATGGAGGGAAGTTTTGCTGCATTTTCTCCTCCCGTTTCTTACCTCCCCTTGTCTCCAAGCATGTCAGATGGTTCAAGATATGCAAACCGTGATAATAAATCACGTCGGCATGGTTATTCATCATATTCTGGTGGACATGATTATAATGATTCGTCTCCAAGTGATAGTTATGGTGGTTCACAGGTAAATCCTCAGTGTTCATCTTTAAGAAGTTAGTTTGGCTTTATCTCATTTTTACAGATACACGTCAGATTATCTTCTTCTGTTCTTATTTTCATTGATGATTTTCTGTATTTCTATCTATTTGGTGTTATCTCTGTATAGCAAAATATGTTGGATTAGTAGATCTAAATTCATTTTTTCAGGTTGGTGGTGGAGGTGGTTATGCATCATATGGCGTTTATTCCTCTGGGCGATCTAGTAGTGCAGGGTAAAGCATCCTTTGATTACATGCTTTGGCGTCCAAGATATCTTTCCTGCCTATAGTTGTTACAGCATCTTTCACTTTCTATAAAAAGCTTTTGTTATTTACTTTTTTTTAGTTTTACCAGGGTTTCCAACCATAACTCTTCTGCCTATGGTAAATCCTACAGATACTAGGTTGCGCACATGGAGGTACAGAATTTTCTCCTTTATTTTCTGTCTCATTCATAGTCAATTGGATTCTCTATTCTGTACTTCACTATAACCTCAAGCACATCTTCCTATTGCTAACGTCAACTAGCCTGAAGCCTGTGCTGTCACTAATACTCTTTCTTTACTTTGCCTTTTCCCACTTGCCATTTAAACAGCTACAATCTTCGATGCCTGATTCCAGCCTATTGCCCCTTTTGATGATGCCTCCAGCCTAAGAACAGAAGACCAGACGAACAAGATAGTGTAACTTATGGCCATCCGTTCCTTAGTATTTCTGTTTCTTAGGTGTTACCAGCACAGATATTGTATTGAAGGCCTTGTATCCAATAATACCTCTGCTTTAGTGGATCTGTGTAGCAGACTAAGTCATGACAGTTCTCCTTTATATTTTTTGTTTGTTTTGCGTTTTGTAAAACTTTTGTGAAGTGGTGGTATCATTTTTTTTCGTTTTACTATTGACCAGTTTTGCTACAGCATTGAACATTCTATCATTTTCTCTTGCATCAAATTTTTCATGTTTTCTTGACAGCTTTTCAATTATTGAACCAAAGTTCAAGAAAGTCCGGTTTCCGCATTTCAGGAGGTAAAATGTAATCAGTCATCTCATACTTATCAATCCCTTGTCTGCTTTTGCTTGTAGTAATCTCGCGTAGTTTGGCATGATTCCCACTGTTGGGTTCAATCCTTGTGAATGAAGCCCTCATTAGTTGCTTACACGTTCTAAGAGCTTTTAAGAGATCAATCAATAGTTAATTATGATCAAAATTCATGTTCAACTTTGCATGTTATAATATATTCTGAGAAGGCAGATTTCTATCGAAGCTGTGTTAATTTTCTTATCTTGCTTCTCCAGGGTAAAAGGTACTTTTTATTCCTTTTCAGGTTGGTGAGTAGGCATGAATATGCTTTCAGACATGTATGTGATAAGTGTGCGTGTCTCTATCTTGTTAATATTTTTGCTCCTTTGGCCTGAAGGAAATGATGATGTTCATCACAATTTCATGTCTGATTGATTATTTTGTGTAATTTATTCTGCAGGATCGATAGATAATTTAATTCTCATGCTAAATTCCTATAAGGTAAGTAAGTTTCTCTTTTGCAGTTGCTAATTTTTTCATTGATCTGGAAACTAGAGAGAGCAAGAATTCAACGTGAGACAGATTTTAAGATTTTTGGTAGAAAACATAAACATACAAATGTCAAATATTTTGAGGAGAAAAGAAGCCGGTGGTATCGTGCTTAGCCAGTTAACGTCATCCTTATACTAGCAAGAGAGGTGTCTTAGCCCATTACAACAAAGGGATATTTCTTTTGATGAAATAACAGGACATTTTGATTAGACCAGTGTAAGTTATGATATGGAACCATATCGCATGTATTGCCAACTGTTTCTTTTTGCCTTTTTAGGGCTTTATATGAAGCTCATATCTGGGTTGTGGTGGCTTTACAGCTATTGGAATAACTGGGATTCCATGTTTAAAGTGTATTCTTTCATTAGCTACCTATTTATTCTCTGAGCATGGATTGTGTGTGGAGAAAAACGGTGTGTGTTGTACGATATAGATTTATTTATTGCCTTCTTTTTGCTTCCCGGTGCTAATTTAGAACTCTAGGCTGTACTTTCAAAGCGGATCCAATTTCTTATGTTTTCTGGAATTCATGCCCCAATAACAAGATTATTACTAGTCTGCTGTTTGCATGTTGTGTTAAAATTCTATATGGGACGGTCTGCTGGTAGAGAGATGTGTGCATTTTTGGCCCAAAGATGTGATGTTTCACCCTATCTCAAATTGGTGAAAAGTCCGCTAGCACACAAGCATGCAGCAATTGATTGTTCTATGTTCTGGACCGAATGACTACTCAAATTGATGAGACAGCTCGCCCCGTAACAAAAAAGAAGAGAGTTGCAAAAAGTTTCTAGTTTCTACCTACTTTTCAAAGAAATGTGAATTTTCTTTGGCGTATTTACAAGCTAGCTAAGGTTTGTGTCTATTCAATTCCAGCAATCTGACTGTAGTTGCAATGCTGAATGAACGATATTTCTGAGTGTCTGCATTGATCGTTTGGAGACACAGTTGTCTTCAGTTTCTTGTTTCGTTGGAGCTCTGAAGTTGAATAGTGTTTACTAAAGTGGAGTTCAATTGAATTTTCTATTTCCTGGGGATTTACAACCTCAGTTAAGCGTTCTCCCATTTGTTTAAGGCAAGCAAATTAAAGATCAGGTTTGTGTTACAAATTCTTGATCATCTTACCTTTTTCAACTATAAGACAATAATAGGACCTTATTCTACCACTAGTAACAAGTTTTCACAGGAACATACACTCTTTTGGGTTAAAGTAAAAATTCTATTATGTTGGCAAAACATGTAGCAGTAGGCACGTGATCGTATGCAGGGGCGAAGCTACATGTCTTAAAAGGATCGAAAAATTACATTGCGTATATAGGTAAAATATTACTCTTACCTGTTTCAAAAAGATTATTTCCTTACTAGTCTTGTTTCAAAAAGATTGACACCTATGAATATTTCCTTAATAAGAAGTATTTATAGTCATACACAAATGATATGACAGGTTTCATACCAGAAGTTTTAAATATTTTATAGCCACACAAATGCTATAGCTTATTTAAGAACACATATCCCACAAGTCTTCCCTTCTTTATTAAGGTTAGTGCCAAGTCAAACTAAGACAATCTTTTTGAAACGGAGGGAGTATGTTTTGAAGGTATATAACACATATTGAATACCCTTTATCGATGATTTTTTTAATTTCTTTCAAGTTTGAACACCCTTGAGTAAATTCCCGGATTCGCCATTTCGTAAGTGTGAAGTACATTATAGTGTTCCGAAAAGTGATAAACATTAATACTGCAAAAAAGTGTATGTTCTCAACGTTCAATACAATGCTGATCTAGAATTTTGCCACCATAAAGTAAAATACATCACCATTTTGAGAATAGCACAGGCAGATGAGAAATGATCGTTCTTGTGAAAAGAACTTGCACGTAGTTTTCTGAATTTTATGCAAGCAAATCAGCTTAGTATAGGACCACAGCTCTAAAATTCAGTACAAAATTTTGCCATGAGAGCATTTATTCTTTCTTTTCTTCTTTTTTACCTCTATTAAGTATCTAGCCAGATTTACAACACCACCTTCAGTTAATTCAGCAGGAATCTATGATGAGGCTGCTCCGAATGACTCGGCCTTGGTGCTTCTGATTCTAAGAATTATTCTCACCATCGCCTGCTGGTGTTCCGCTCTGGTCATCTAGCTGGTCAGAGCCGTTGTTGCTACCATCTGCTGCCAGATTTTAAACGAGGACTCGAGTTTAGCTCCAGTAAGAATGCAATACAGGAAATGGATTTTATGTACATACCTTCACCAGCATCTGTCAGAGAAGAAGCTGAGAGCCGAGTACGAAGTTGCTGGTGTGGCGTAGGCTGTTATCAAAGAATACATAAGTAATGCAATAGTCGAATACAAATCGAGCATGCAGCAACTTGGAGCAGGGTGTGTACTTGTATTCGTCTTTTTTTTTGTTGCTATTTATAAGATAAGTTTCTGTAGCCATGTTGTGGTTGGGTTTAACTTCCTCATCTATGTATATTTCAGGATTTAGTTCGAATATATAAAGAAAGATACAACTTTTCCTACTGAAACAAATAGTCAGGAAATCAAATGCTCGTCAACACATTGCTTCTCAAAGCTAGATCCGAGTGAGTTGACCATTGATTTGTTTAATTCCAGTCTAAGTTGTAAGCTAACGAATCTAAACTCTAAAAAATGACAAAGGCAGAAAAAAAACCAAGTGTGTATTCAAACTAACAATAAAATTGGAAATGTATTTCCAGAGTAACAGGGTAACGCACCTCTAATTTTGGGCGAAGTGCCTCAGCAGGCGTTTTGGGCTTCTGTCCCCCTTGCTGCAAACGAAAAGAACATGGTATAAGACGATCAAACTTCAGCATTGAGCTTTAGCTAAAGATTGAATAGCCAAAAGTTAGGCTAGAGCTGTGTACCTTTCCTAATGCCCAGTCCGCAGAATCGAAGAAAGCACGTTCGTGGTCCTTGAAAATGTAAAGCAGGTTGATAGAGAATTCAATTAGGACAAATATTGAAGAAAAACTTAAAATACAAAGAAGAAAAGAATTTGAGATACCAAAAATTGAACTAAAACTTAAAATAATCACCTTAGATATCAATGGAGGTTTCTTTTTCACCAAGCCACCATACTTTTTCTTCAGTTCCTCCTGGATATATTTAACAAGGAAAGGATTTATGCCCCGAATTTTAAGGAAAATTTGGCAGAACTACTGTAAATGTTTCACCATTTTTGCAGTTAATCAAATTTCGAAGTCACTTTCCCTAAACCGTTCATGACCTACAGAATCTTCCTCAAATACCCTTATAGGCTTATAGATGGATACTAGTCTTATGAACGCAATCTCATTCGCACGTTCTTATGGAACAGAAAAAAGAGACAAAGTATATGGGGATTGTTCCAAAAGATCTTCGAATGGAAAAATGTATTCCTCAATCACTATCACTTTAAAATATGCTGCATCAGTGACTGGCACTTTAAATGATTTGAGCTCCAAATGAAAGAAGTACATAGGGATCATTTAGAAAATCGTTCGGTGCAAAAATGTATTCTCTATCCCTATCACTTTAATGTATGCTTCATGATCGACTAGTATTATAAAAGCTCTGAGCTGCAAATGAAAGAACAAAGTAGACAGAGATTTTTCTTAACGAAAAACCTTTGGTGCAAACTTGTATTCTCTAAACCCTGTCGCTTTAACATAAGCTTCAGTATTGACTAGTATTCTAAAAGCTTTGAGAAAATGGGATCAATTAAGTAGAAACCACATATGCAAATATGTACCTCCTCCTCTTGAGATGGAACTTGGCTTTCTTCTACTTCTGAACCCTTTGGATCTTCTGCAAGAAGGTCATCGTTTTCTTCACCTTTAGGAGGATCATTAATAACGTTTGGTTCCTTCACACTTTCATCTGCGCTTGGGTTTGACATATTGCACACGTGTTTCTGCAAAAATATAACTGGTTTATTATCACCCATAGCTAAGTCAAGCAGACACAACTGCTCGCTGCTCTTCTGGATCGAGAACTCTTTGCTTGGAACATTTTAATAGATTCGGTGACAAGCAAAGCCAAAATATTGGGCATCTTCCAGTTAAATTTTGAATTCCAAGGTATTCTCTTAAATCTAAACTGAATGCAGAAAGTTTCAATTGATCCACATATCAGATAATGACTGTAAATAGAGGTAGGCAGTAACAAATAAATGGATGTAAAATCAATAAATCATGAATCATTGTATATGTAATCTTAGGTAATAAATGCAAAACCAAAAGTCAACAACATAGTACCTAGATAACATAAAGCTCAATATAAATGCTTTTAAAGGATCAAGAACACAAGAATCTAAAAGCATATGTAGTCTGAGGTAACAAATGCAAAACCGACAGTCGTACATACCAATCCACTGCCCTGGATAACATAAAGCTCCGTGTAAATGCTTTTGATCTTTAATCGAATTTATGGCTAACACACCCATGTTGCGTGTTCTTCCAAGATACCACATACTGTGTAGCTCTACATAAATGCTTAAAGGATCTAGAGAAGAAGAAACTAAAAATCATAGATTACAGAAACCAATTTCAGTCTACATACGTCTTTTTTTTTTTTTAACTGTAGTCCGGGCCAGTTTGCGCACACCTTGACTAATTCCACGGGATACTTGGTACCTCCCACCAGCAAAGGTAACTCTGTACACCATGGCTTGGACAGACGGGAGAAAATCACCTAGTGTTTTTTGCCTCCGTTGAGATTTAAACTTGAGACCTCATGGTTCTCAACCCACTTTATTGACCACTAGGTCACACCCTTAGGTGCTCCAGTCTACAAACTTACTTTTTTTGGGGATAATTTAGAAAATCCGGAGGGCTAGTGGCGCACAGTTCAAATCACGATGGATAATGGACCCCTCCCCCCTCTCCACTTACATACAGACTTTTGTTTGCAGCAAATTTGGAACCCCTAACGTGCCTAACCCACACATCATGCGTTGCGTTCTTACCGCTAGACCAAAGCCCTAGGGGCTACCGATGTACATACTTAAATCCAACATCAATGGATATCCAATCGACTTAAATAAATACAAAATAAACTGAAGAGTTGAATCACTGCTCATGACCAAGAAAAGAAAGAGTTCCTTTAGAGAAAAAGGAAGAAAAACAAATCTTAAGACAGAAATAATTTGGATATTCCTATTAGTCTATAATATCAGTTTCTAGTTTGATATGTTGGCTAGATACCATACAAAAACAACAGTTTTACACAGATGAATGAATTATCAATTGATTATAAATTTCATGATTTCAAGCTTATTTATCATTTTTTTTCTTTTTTCGAGATATCAATTTACACAGATTATACTATATCAAGGAACCAAGCTAATACACATGCAAGAGAAGCAAAAGAAGGGGAAAACTATGTTATAAATTCCCAGTTAAAGAAACATGAAATGTAATGCATAGATTCAGTAATCCACATACACCAAATCAATCATTTCAATTTTTCATAGTCAAATTTGGATCATTACTAAAATCCCAATTTAATCCATAACAGAAAAGTAGATTATCAAATGATAACTTAATCATGATATTAAAATACACAAAAAAGAAAAATTCAATCTCGATAGAAGCCCAACAAGCAATACATAATGAATATTGCCACCTTTTAAGAAAATAAAATAGAAAGCATGGAACCGAGAAAATCAGTTTCTTGATATGGGGAAAGAATAAAGAGAATAAGGAGAAGAAGAAAAAGAAGCATACCTGGAATCTGAAGTGAAGGTGGGTGGAAACCGATGAGTTTTACCAGAAATATGGAATAGAAAGAAGACAGCAAATAAACTGGAATATGGAAAAAGGTTGCGTCCTCATTCCACAGGAGAATATGGGCCTACAACTGTTTTGGGCTCGGGTTTTTTCGGATTGGTCATTCAAAAAAAGCCAGCGTTTGCAAAGTCATTGAAAAATGGGGCATTTGCATTTATACCCGTTTTTTGTGCCACATTTTAACTTGTGCCCGCTTTGCAAAAAAAATTGCAAGCGTACCCGCTTTTTCACATAACTTCAGCCCACGGGGCTAGGGCTGTGCACGGATCGGATCGGATCAGATTTAGCATATTTCGGATTCGGATTTCGGATTTCGGATTGTGAAAAGGGCAATCCGAATTAACATTGGATCGGATCGGATTTTGAAACTTTGGATCGGATATTTTTCAGATTGTCGCATAATTATCCTATGTTGGATTTTATTCTATACTGTAATCTGTATACTCAAACTATTACTTTTAATGCTATGATCAAGAAAATAATATATCAAATTATTGATTCATTTCCAACTTCTATTATCTACTTCATTTCCTTGAAACAAAACAATATATCAAATTAACAGAATGGCTTCTTCTAGCAACTATTCAATCCTTTTCTTGATCATAGCATTATTTTCCTTATCAAGCATCAACACAAGCAATGCAGCTCGCAACCTACTGCAACTTCCAAACTTGCCAACAATACCGTCACTGCCTCAGTTGCCTAAAATTCCCAACTTGCCAACAGCAATCACATTGCCACCATTGCCAACACTTCCAACAGGGTGGTTCTCTACTACAGTGTAGTTTACAAATATAATTTCAAACAGAAATTTTACACTTTAACTTGATAAAGAGCAAACTTCATTTCAAATGAGACCTAAACTTTAGGCTGGAATTCAATTCCAAAAGCTTCTAACATTTGAACTTCTAACAGAGGTTCTATTTGACCATATTTCTGCAAACTAAAGTCCACTTCTGAATATTCACTTAACAATGAAGAAAATACTTTCCCGGATAACTGAAACATCACCTGCTCTTGACTGAAAATCGTTTGTGAAGACTTGAGAGGACTTGGAGTTCACTGACTTGAGACTTCGAGAGGACTGAGATGAAGAGTGAAGACGACGGAAGCTTGGTCGGCGTCGGACTGAGATGAAGACTTCGAGTTCGAGAGGACTGAGGAATAGATCTGTGAAGAGAGGCGGAAGAGACTAGAGACTCAACATCGATATAACCTAGGGTCAGTCTCTGATAAATGAATATAAGGTTACTTAACCCTAAAATTTTTGGATAGTATTATATATAGGTCATATAACTTCGGATTTCGGATCGGATCGGATTAAAAACATGCCAATCCGAATCCAATCCGAAAATCCGAAATTTTATAAAAAACATAATCCGTATCCAATCCGAAAATCCGAAATCTGAAATCCGAAAATCCGAAATAGAGTGGATCGGATCGGATTTCGAATATCCGATCCAAATGCACAGCCCTACACGGGGCTGAAGTTTTCCTTTTGTACTGGAAAACTTCAGCTGAAGTTTTTGTCTTTGTAACCGGAAAAATTAAGCTCTAGAGATTAAGTTTTCCAGTTATAAAATAAAAACTTAAGCTCTAGAGCTTAAGTTTTCAGTTATAAAATAAAAACTTAAGCAGTTTTCCAGCTTAAGTTTTCCAGTTATAAAATAAAAACTTAACTTAAGCTCTAGAGCTGAAGTTTTTCTTTTGTACTGGAAAACTTCAGCTCTAGAGCTGAAGTTTTTGTCTTTGTAACCGGAAAACTTCAGCTCTACAGCTGAACTTTGCCAGTTATAAAATAAAAACTTAAGCTCTAGAGCTTAAGTTTTCCAGTTCTAAAATAAAAACTTAAGCAGTTTTCTAGCTTAAGTTTTCCAGTTATAAAATAAAAACTTAAGCAGTTTTCCAGTTATAAAATAAAAACTTAAGCTCTAGAGCTTAAGTTTTCCAGTTATAAAATAAAAACTTAAGCTCTAGAGCTGAAGTTTTTCTTTTGTACTGGAAAACTTTAGCTCTAGAGCTGAAGTTTTTGTCTTTGTACCCGAAAAACTTCAGCTCTATAGCTGAAGTTTGCCAGTTATAAAATAAAAACTTCAGCTCTAGAGCTGAAGTTTCAATGTTGTAACTAGGAAACTTCAGCTCTAGAGCTGAAGTTTTTGTCTTTGTTTCTTGTACTGTTTCTTGTACATTCATCAAAGGAATTACATGGAAATATCTAGCAATTTTTGGCGGATAGTCTTGAAATATCATGTTTAAGTAGCTACATATTATTTTCCGTTAAAATTTGTTAGAATGGTTAATGAAAATCTGACGATTACATATCGTGCAAAGCTAAATCCAGAAAATCTATCTTCTTCAGTTACCGCAAAGCATGAAACTAGCAAGTTCCAATTTCATATTCTATTTGTAAAGGCTTATCTCAAACACTAACTACAGTGAAGAGCAAGAACTGTGGTATTGAAGAAGAAGAAGAAGAAGAAGAAGAAGAAGAAGAAGAAGAAGAAGAAGAAGAAGAGGAGAATGGGAGGAGAAAGGGAAGCTGAAGTTTTTTAAAAAGTGGATACGGGTGCAAACAGAAAGACAAAGGCAATTTTTACTTGAAAAATAGCTGGAGTATATTATGCTGGACTGGATTTTGAACAGTGTTTTCGTTCAGATTTATCTATACATGAAAAGTGGCTAAATTTCGATTACTTTTGAAACTGTGGCTATTTTTGGATGACCACTTGTAAATCTGGCTATTTTTGAATTTCTCCCCAAATGCTGCTCATAGCCCATTTATTGAGATCGGCTAAAATGGTGGAAATGATACCAAGTAGCAATTTTTAAGTATGTTGTTCAAAATATATTAATAATTTATAATATATTTAAAGATTAGTCAATTTGCTCAAATTTCAGACATGACGTCCTGAAGTTCAAATTTCAGGACATCGTGTCCTAAAGTTTGAAAATTGTGTCCAAAAATTCGAATCTTTATGTCCCGAGTTTTAAATTAGCAGCTCAAAAATTTAGGACACTAAGTCCTGAATTCCAAATTAGCAGCTTAAAAATTCAGAATACTTAGTCCTGAAGTTTTGGTTAATCTTTAAATATATCGTAAATTATGAATATATTCTAAACATCAGGTTTAAAAGTGGCTATTGGTGCACTTCGTCCGCTAAATGGGAGGATTTGCACGAATAGGATCATTTAAGACTGCTGTTTAAATTTTATCCCCATTCAAAAAATTATAAAAAATAGCAGCACGGATCATAACTTTCACAAGCGGGTGAAGAATGTAAAATTAAGCTTTCACAAGTTATGTTGTGCAAGTCATAACTTTGGTACAAATTGTTCACAAGTTCTGCCGAATAGATAAAGCTTGCCTTTTACATGAAAAAATCACATTGCTTCTTTATTTCTCAAGTTGTTCTACCAGATTTTCTGAAATTAAAATATTGGAGTACTCATTTTGTTTCTTACAATCTTTAGGTAGGGGGACGTTAGCATTATTATTTGTTACGAAATTTTGGCACAGCTCATCATTAATATCCAATTTTCATCAAAATGTTTTTACAAACTCCTAGAGTTACAGCTTGTTTGGATGGGTGTTACATATTATTTCATAATGTATCGTATTGTATTTTATTGTATTGTTTGATGAATACAATGTTTGAATAGATTATATCGTTTGACGTCGTTTCATGATATCACGCACCAACAATATGAAAAATAAACTTGCAATATTAGAAATAACAATTATGATACATGGTAAAATTATTATATAAAATTATAGGATAGATGATAAAATAAAATTATTTAATTATAATGAAGGGTGAGATTGAGAGAAAAAGACAAGGTAACGACACGACCACACCAAATCGGTCGTTACATAAAGTGGCACATTTCGTCGTTACGTAACGACGGATTTAACGAGACGATACAATAAAATTTAAGTAACAATCAAAACAACGTATTTAAAGTAACAATACGATACGATACAATAGGTAACAACACATCCAAACAAGCTGTAAAAACCACTCCGACAAAATTATCCTTTAGGATCCTTGATCACAATATTAATTGTGTTTGAATGAGTAGTAAAATATTATTTTGTATCAAAATTAAACAGAAAAATATTGAGTAATATACAAACATTGAACTTGAAAAAACGAAGTGTTTTTTAATAATTTCTGAAAATATGATGATTCAGATTTCAGTGTCCATCACATGCTCCTAATCATGTGTGGCTTCATAAATATAATTTCATATGTCATAAGTTCTCCTTTCTTTATTTAGTATAATATGGTCAAAATCATATGCCTTCTATCTATGGGCTCGAGGGGTCGTCTTAGGACCAAGTTCAGGCAAGATCGAGTTCGAGCTCGATAGACCAGACTCGAGCTCGAAGATAGGATGCAATGCCCGAGGATCGAAGTATGAAAAATACCGAAGCCGAGTATGCTCGACCTCGAAATAATGCCGTTATTGATTTCTAACAGAATGAGCGAGATTCCTGCCACATCCTCAGAATCATGGCGCAAATCCCGAAATAGAATTGTACGATTCCGTACTAGGCGGTTAGACAACTGTCCCAATAAGATTCCTTACTGTAAATGGAAATGTACCTTATTTAGGGTTCCACTATTATATAAAGGGAACCCCAATCATTTGTAAACATCTAATCATTGGCAAAGAATATACTATCTTACTTTTCTGGCT